GGGCTGTCCTGGTGTGAGGGGGGCGGTCCTGGTGTGAGGGGGGCGGTCCTGGTCTGAGGGGGGCGGTCCTGGTCTGAGGGGGGCTGTGCTGGTCTGAGGGGGGAGGTCCTGGTCTGAGGGGGGAGGTCCTGTTCTGAGGGGGGCGGTCCTGGTCTGAGGGGGCAGGTCCTGGTCTGAGGGGGGCTGTGCTGGTCTGAGCGGTGAGGTCCTGGTCTGAGGGGGGCTGTCCTGGTCTGAGGTGGCTGTCCTGGTCTGAGGTGGCTGTCCTGGTCTGAGGGGGGCTGTGCTGGTCTGAGGGGGGCTGTGCTGGTCTGAGGGGGGCTGTGCTGGTCTGATCGGGGAGGTCCTGGTCTGAGGGGGGAGGTCCTGGTCTGAGGGGGGAGGTCCTGTTCTGAGGGGGGCAGTCCTGGTCTTCCCTCCTTACAATGGGATCATAACCCACACAGCCTGTGCCCGTCTGGCCAGGAGCCCCAGGACAGATGCACCATGGTCCCTCCGTCGCCCCGTGTGGATGAAACACGTTAGGAATGTTGGCGTTCTGGCGGGACAGGCGATATGATACAAAATCACATGAGTCTCCCGGTCCGGAGACCTCAGAGGTGGCTTCCTCTGGGCAGTGGCACCGGCTGGCCCAAGGCTCCTGGTGTCCCTGGGTGCACCGCCCGACTCGGGGACCTCTGGGGCCTGGAGAGGGTCCTGCAGGGGCCGCAGCCACTGAGCTGGGCACCTCGGCGCCGAGCAAACTGCACTCCCAGGTCAGCCGTGGGAGGGACTGTCTGCGGCCAACTAAAAAGTTTCAAAATCAGATAAGAGAAACCTGAGGTTGGGTTTTCAAATAGAAACCAGATGTCTCTGTTCCAAACTCTCCGGCCTTAAGGTCCTTCAGTGGAAAAAACGTGCTTCCCGGGACGGGCTGATTCGTCGAGTTACACGGGGGGCCGCCTGCAACAAGGAGATATCCCGGTGGTCACCTGTCCCCACCTGGGTCGGGCCTGACCTCAGGGCTCCTTGGGGGGAGCCACAGAGAGGAGGCAGGTGAGTGGGAGAGTGGGGTCCCGGGTCCCCAGTGTTTGACCTGCAGAGCTGGGGCTCCTTCTGTGGTGGGGGAGGGAGCGGAGCGGGTCCTGGGAGTGCAGAGAGCGGGGCTGCCCAGATAACAGGGGGTAGCTCCACTGGTCCTGATGTGGCATTCGAGAGGGGCTCTCCCAAACCCCGTCAGGCTGTGGCCTGGTCTCGGGACCTGCCCGCTGACCCAGCTGAGGTGGGCCGTCCGGGCCTCAGGGAGGACGGAGTGGCCCTCCAGGGCGGCAGCATCTGCAGCCAGTGGAGTCTGGGTGCCCACTGCTGCCCACCCCCCCGCAGGTGCCAGCCCTGCCCCCACCATGGGACTGACTTGGAAGGAGCGGGTCCTCACGGCCCTGCTGGGGGCTGCCGCGGCCTCAGGCCTCACCACGCTCATTCTCATCCTGGTGGAGGCCACCAATGTCCTCCTGCCTGCAGACACCAAGGTATGCCCGCAGGACCCGAGCAGGGATGGGCTGGGTGGCTGAGTGGTGTGCCGGCCCCCACACCTCCTGACCCTGGTATCATCCCCAGTTCGGGATCGTGTTCGACGCCGGGTCCTCCCACACGTCCCTCTTTGTGTATCAGTGGCCGGCAGATAAGGAGAATAACACAGGCGTGGTTAGCCAGGTCCTGGCCTGCCAGGTGGAAGGTCAGTGGGCAGTTCCATCACTGGTGGACGCACGCTGGGAGCTGCCAACCGCTGGCTGGCTGGGATTCCCAGCTGGGTGGAGGTTTGGGAGGTGGCACAGGCTGGAGCCAGGTGGGAGCTACGTTTCTATCCCTCGGCAAGTCAGCAATCAACCTAAAGGAAAAGGGGCTCAGAGAGGTTGAGTGAGGTGCCAACCGTGGCACAGCTGGTCAGTGGGTGCTGGGCCAGAGCCTGCGTTTGCCTCCAGGGCTCTGGAGACGTCCCCGCCTGAGCCTGCGGAGACCATGCTGCCTCCTCCAGCTCCTGGGGCTCCAGGAGTCCCTGGGCTGGTGGTCGCATCGCTCCAGCCTCTCCCTCCAACTTCACATGCCTTCCCTCTGGGTCTTAAGTCTCCCTCTCCTCTCGCTCATGAGGACGCCAGTCATTGGATTTAGGGCCCCCACCTGGGGAATCCAAGATGATCTCACTTTAAGATCCTTAACTTAATCACATCTGCAAAGATCCGTTATCCAAATAAGGTCTCATTCCCAGGTTCTGGGTGTCAGGATGGGGGTACATATTTTGGGGGGCCCCCCACTACCTACCACAGGTCCTTTCAGCCCTGCCAGCCTTCAGGCCTTGGAGCCTCGACCTGGGGTGCTGTGTTTCAGGGCCTGGAATCTCCTCCTATACCTCCGACCCTGCACAGGCTGGTGAGAGCCTGCAGGGCTGCCTGGAGGAGGCATTGGCACTGATCCCAGAGGCTCAGCATCAGGAAACGCCCATGTTCCTGGGGGCCACGGCTGGCATGAGGCTGCTCAGGTGAGGTGGGCTGGTGTGGGGCCTGCGCACGTCCGTGAGGAGCAGCAAGTGAGAGCCGTGGTCTCAAGGCCCAGGGCAGGGTGGAGGGGGTGCAGGCTGCCAGCCAGCTTCAGCCCCTGATCCTCTCTGCCCAGCCAGAAGAACAGCTCTCAGGCGAGGGACATCTTTGTGGCGGTCACCCGGGTCCTGAGCCAGTCTCCCGTGGACTTTCGGGGCGCTGAGCTCCTGGCTGGGCAGGACGAAGGTGCCTTAGGTTGGATCACCATCAATTACGTCCTGGGCATGCTGGTCAAGGTGCCACAGGCAGCCCCAGGGTGGGGGCTGGATGACCAGGGGCTGTGGGTCAATGTGGCTGGTCCTGGGACTCAGTGCCCCTTGTCTCTGGTCAGTACTCCTTCTCTGGAGAATGGATCCGGCCTCCAGAGGGGACGCTGGTGGGCGCCCTGGACATGGGTGGGGCCTCCACCCAGCTCACCTTCGTGCCTGGAGGCCCCATACTGCACAAGAACACGCAGGCCACCCTCCGGCTCTACGGCTACGACCACAGCATCTACACCCATAGCTACCTCTGTTTCGGGCGTGACCAGATGCTGAACAGGCTCCTGGCTGGGCTGGTGCAGGTTGGCTGGCCCACGGAGGAGGAGGCGGCGCCGTGGGGCGGCCCCGTGGCCCCAGGCTGGAGCTCAAGGCCGCCTCCCATCCTCCCTGCAGAGCAGCCTGGCACCCCTGGTCCGCCACCCATGCTACCACAGCGGCTACCAGGGCACACTGTCCCTGGCTTCCCTGTACGAGTCGCCCTGTGTCCACAGCACAGCCCCCCTAGACCTCACCCAGAACCTCAGTGTGGAAGGCACCGGGAACCCCGGGGCCTGCGTCTCAGCCATCCGGGATCTCTTTGACTTCCTGAGCTGCGAGGGCCAAGAAGACTGTGCCTTCAACGGGATCTACCAGCCCCCCGTGCGGGGCCAGTTCTACGTGAGCACTCCACACTTCGCCCCCCCAGGGTCCCAGCTTCCTCCTGGAGCCCCAGGGGCTTGACCCCAGGTGGCCCCAGGGTGAGCCCTGGACAGGCGGGACACGGGGGCTCTGGGCCCCCAAGTGGGGGTGGGATGGGGACTTAACCTGGTTTGTCCTGGGCCTGGCCCCCGTGCAGGCCCACCCGTCTCCCCTCCCTGCCCCCAGGCCTTCTCCAACTTCCACTACACCTTCCACTTCCTGAACCTCACGTCCAGGCAGCCGCTGGCCACCGTCAATGCCAGTGTCTGGGAGTTCTGCCAGAGGCCCTGGAAGCTGGTGGGTGGGCCCGGGGCCGCCCCCTCCCCCCACCGCCCGCTCCCTGTGCTGCAGCTGTTGAGGCGCAGACCTCACTGAGCAGGGAACTGGTGGGACCCCATTCCGGGCAGTGTGGCCAGCAAGGTTTGGGGGGAGCCGGAGGAAGGGAGGACAGCGCCTTGGCCCCTGCTGCAGTCAGGAGACCCAGGGTCACGCCCCTAGATGGGACCAGCCTCCGGGGGGCCGGGAGGGGGTCCCTCACCTGGCTCCTCACCTCCTGGCCCCAGGTGGAGGCGAGCTCACCTGGGCAGGACCGCTGGCTGCGCGACTACTGCGCCTCGGGGCTGTACATCCTCACACTCCTGCTCGAGGGCTATGGGTTCAGTGAGGACACCTGGCCCAGCATCGAGTTCCGCAAGCAGGTGACAGCCTCCCGGGGACCCGGCTGATGGCCCCCGGGCAAGGGTCGGGGGCTCTGGGGCAGCTGCCCGCAGCCCTGACTGGCCAGTGTGTCCCGCAGGCTGGCGGCACCGACATCGGCTGGACACTGGGCTACATGCTGAACCTGACCAACATGGTCCCAGCCGAGGCGCCTGCCCAGTGGCGGGCAGAGAGCTACAACGTCTGGGTGGCCGGGGTCGTCTTTATGGTGCTGACCCTCGTGGCCGTTCTCGGAGCTGCTGCAGTCCAGCTCCTCTGGCCGCAGGACTAAGCCGGGCTGCTGCCTGATGCTCCCAGAGCTCAGGGGGGCCGCCCCAGCCTGGACGCCTTAGCTGGCTGGAGCCTTCCTGAGTCCCTGACCCCTGCGGGGCCTCCCGGGACCTTGTCCTGTGGGCTCTGCCCTCAGGGTCGCTCTGGCTATGGAGGCTGCGCTGTGGCCCCCCATCTGGCACCCCTGGGTCCCCTCTCCACCGTGCTTCCCAGGCCACTGGGCGCCTTTCTGCACCCACGCTGGGTCCCTGGACCCCTGTGGCATTCCAGGGCTGTGTGACTGCAGAATTAGTGGGACGCGGGGCCCCGGTTGAGCCTGAGGGTGGGGAGTGACCACTGCAGCAAGAAGGGGCCTGGCTTCCTGGGAGGGGCTGGCAGTGGGCCCTGGGGTCTCCAGGAGCTGGCAGAGCCTCAGGAGGAGGCTGGGGGAAGGGGCCCAGCCTAGACCCCTGGGGTGGGCCTGCCTGAGGGGCAGTGTCCAGGCTCTTCTCCTGGAGCAGCCTCACCCCACACTCTCGGAAGCAGAATATGGACCACACCTTGGAGAGGGGCAGAATGCTTTTATTAAAACCCTCTTTGCTGCTGGACTTCTTAGGGTGATCTCCTTGCCGGGTCCGGGGGGGCGGCTCCTCACAGGCATCGACCAGCCGGGACCACGAAGCATTTGGGGAAAATGCCGATGCGGCCATCACAGTGGCCCTCCAGCCATGCCTGGTCCACTGCAAGGGGGCGTCAGGGCTCCTCAGGGCACCACACGGTGTCGCACAGAGACCCTGGCGCCCCAGGCCCAGCAGGGTGATGGGAGAGGGTGGCTGCCCACTCTACCTTCACACAGGACGTCCACAGTGTCCCCCTGCTGCAAGTCCAGGTCCTCGGGCCCCTGGGCAGAGTAGCTGTGCTGGGCCACCACCTGGTAGAGGACAGGCCGGCGGCCCACTCCCTGCAGCAGAGGGCAGGGCTCCATGGCAGGCCAGGCACTGGGAGAAGGGCCTCCCCGAGACGGCAGCCCGACCCACCCGCACTCTCCCGAGGCTCACCCGGCACTGGAGCCGCAGCCCCCCAGGGCCGCCAGCTGCATCCTGCCAGGCCCTCTGCAATGCCTCCTCCCCGAGGAGGGGCACCCAGCGCCCGTCATCACTGGGGTCTCGGTAACTGCAAAGAGACTCCTCAGAGTGGGGGTAGGGGGCTGTGGAGAAGGTGCTGACCTCTGACCTTTGCAGCCTCTGATGCACCCAGCCCCTCTTCCAGCTGCTGCCTTGGGGCTCCACCCTGGGCCGGGGCTGAGATAGGCCAGCTCAGACCCCCTACCCTCCTGCCCAACTCAGAGTTCCCCTCTACCCCTCACCCCCCTGTCCAGCTCAGAGCCCACCTGCCCCACCTCCCACTCAGCTCAGTGGCAGCAGGGGGTGGCTTTCCAGCCCACCTGAGCTGCCCATGCTGAGCCTGGTGAGGGAGGGCCTGGCTCAGCAGGGCCCGCAGGCTGGACACGTCCACTCCTCTTGGGGCCTTCAGGGCCAGGGTGAAGGCACACTGCACCGTGATGGTCGCCAAGGCCTCGGCGTCCTCTGCAGCCACACCCTGGGACCAGGCAGAAAGGCGGTGGTTGGTCTCTGAAGCCCCAGATCTTCGTGCCCAGGGCCCGGCCAGCGTGGGCTTCGGGCAGGGACTGAGAGGGTGGAGGGAGCTGGGGCTAAGGGCTTGTAAGGCTTCATCAGCTGGAGTCCCCGGGGCCCTCACGTCCCTGGGGAGTGGGAGTGGGGAGTGGTTTTAAGGGCCTCTTACCTCAGCACCCGTGGGATCTTCAGAGGGGCTGGGGCCTGGCCCGCCAGCCGCCAGCAGCCCTGCGAAGTGGGATAGAGCAGGGACTCAGGTGACCACCCCCCTCCACCAAAGTGGGACATTTTGGACTAGAGGAGCTGTGGCACTACGGGCCCACCAGGAGGCCAAGGCCGCCGCTTCTTCCTTGGGGACAAAGAGGCCCCACAGATGCCTGCCTGGGGCTCCCTCCATAGAGTGTCCCACCCACCACCTGCGGTCGGGACACCCTTACCTGGAGGAACCTGTTGGCCAACTTGCTCCACGTGGGGCCTCTGCAAGGAAAGCCACAGGCTGGGGGCTCTGCTGGGCCTGGGGTGGGGCCTGGCAGTGGAGGCCTCACCTTGATGGGCAAGGGTGGGGCCCTGAGGATGGGGGCAGCTTTCGTAGCCTGGGGCTTGTCAGGGGTGGTGCCCGGACACCGTCCCAGCAGAGCCAGTGGTGAGCAGGAATTCAGGGCATGAACCAGGTCCCTAAAGGCCTGGAGACTACAGACTAGCTGTCTTGTACCAGTGGGGACTGACCCGTTGTCCCCAGCCCACCATGAGGCGGCAGCTCCAGCTGCGTGGTCCCCAGTGATCCTGGCAGGCTGAGGACTGAGGCCAGGGACTAGCTGGACTTCATCCCTGTGTTGGCCACTAACTGGTGGGCATGCTGGAGGGGCAGCGAGACACCCCAGCAGGGCCCACGGTCTGGGCCACACTGACCGGCTGACTCAGATCCTGACTCAGATCCAGGGGGTTTGAGAGTTTGACCACGTTTGTAAACGATGCGTGTAGACTTCATCAGATTCACTAGTTGGTTAAAGCAACTAGGAAGCTGTTCCTGTTAGGTCAGGGGGTCAAATGCTTAAAAAGCCAATGTATGAACTTAGTAAATGCAGCTTGAATGGCCTGTGGGACTTCATCAAGCACAGGTGTAACGGGGATGAACTGCTTTTAAGGCTGCTAATCTGTTCACCTCGAGTTAATTGAACGTCAGTGGAACAGAAACTGAGGGTAACCATCTATTTTTTGATTGTGTCCTTTGATAAACCGAATGTTACACTTAACCGCCTTCTCTGTGCACGGGAGACCCCAAGCTCCTGGCGCTGGCTGTGGGCAGTGGTCAGCCGCACTCCTCAGGCCTCCTGGCCCATGAGAGGCCTATGTCCCTTTCTTCCTCAGCCTCATCCCAGCACGCGGGGCGTTTGGGCTGTCCCATGTCCAGGAAGGAGGGCTGGGGTGACAGGCAACCTGGCTGAGGGGTGGGAGCCCCATGGCCAGGATGCAAGGGCTACAGGCCCAGCCCCCCCAGAGCCCGGGGAGGAGTGAGGACTGCCAGGCCCCTGTCTATGCGCCTATGAACATCAGTGCGTCCCCCACCCCTGGTGGGCAACGAAGCCGCCTGCCCTGCCCTGAGACCCTCACAGGGCCCAGCTGTGGCTAGTCCCCACGCTCAGCCTGGGGTGGTGGGTCCTCCCAGTACTGCGGACCCTGCTCGCCCTGCCCGGCCCCACCTCACTCACCCACTCATCATAGGTGACTGGTGCACAGTGGTCAGCCTGCCCTGCCTGGCCAGAGCCAACTTCCGTGTCTGCATCGGGGGGCGGCCTGGAGCCACGGGGGGTACCAGCTCTGCAGAGGCCTGTGTTGTGGGCTCTGAGGGGAGGAGGAGCCCTCATTCTCAGGGCTCGCTCCTCCCTGACACAGCCTGCCTGGGCCACCTCCTCTGGGCCAAGGGCCTCCATGAAAGGTGGGCCTGAGAGGAGCCCGGAGCATGGAGAAGAGGGAAGTGTGGAGCATGGCCCAGGGTTTGGGGCTTGCTCTGTGTCCCCACACCCTGTGCAACCTTGAGCACCCCCCGTCGGAGTGGCCCCACCTGTGGGCCCAGGTCTGGTGGTGCCCGAGGGGCTGCTCGTGTCAGCCCACAGTCCAGCTTGCACCCTCCCCGGGTGCTCCGGCTCCAATCCTTGGTGCTGCCCGGAGCCATGGCGACTTTCGGTCTCTGTTCCCCTCTGAGGCCTGAGGGGAAATTCTATGGGAGGCAGGCACAGGGCTCTTCCCCCAGGAGCATGCACTGAGTGTGCCCCGAGGCTCTGGACAAATGGGGACGTGGGGAGAGAGAGAGGGGCTGGACGCCCCTTCCTTGGCACCCAGGGCTCCAGCCAGTTTCAATCTGGAAAGGGGACATGACAACCCTGGACCCTGGCCAGGAGTGGCCACGCTGGGTCTGCACAGGGGCTCCAGCCTCAGGGGCTGAAATGCACGCCTCACACCAGGTCCTCCACCCCAACAGGCCAGTTCCTACCGTGGGGCAGCCCCGGGTCTGGCTTCACCATCAGCATCTTGAACCTGTGGGCACAGAGTGACGTCCTCGCTCAGGACGCAGATGCCCAGGGCGAGTGTCAGGCAGGTGGGCATGGTGTCACTCCCCCAAGGCAAGACCACATGGTTCCACAGACTCTCACACGGGATGGGACAGCCACCCTCAGTTCAGCACCCTCAGCATTTCCCTTCCTTGACAGTGAAGGGTCTGGAGCCCTCTGACCCACAGTACGCCAGAGGAGGAGTCTGGGCTGGAAGGCTGCCCACCCACCTGGGGCCGCTGGGGCCCAGTGCTCTTGTGCTGGTTGTCGTGGACGCTGGAGGTGACTACCTGGTGAAGGACAGCAGTGGGACGGCCAGGTCAAGGGGCGCCTGGCCGCACCCTCCAGGGGCCCATGATGTTGGCTCCCCGTACCCTGTCTCCCGTCTGCCGGACCACCACGGCGGGGCTGGGAGGTGGGAAGAATAAGACTGATAAAGGAAAACAGCTGTGCTGATAATTTTAACTTATTTTTAGCACAACTTTTAAAGTATTTCCGTTTCTTAGAAACAGTCCTCTGCTGTGACAGGCAGACTGTAGATTGATGTGCATGCAGCGCAGAGGCCCTCCTCCACCAGCCTCCGCCCTGCCAGAAGACGTTTGCAAAGACGTGGTGTTTGCAGCTTGTGCCCTCACCAGTGGCTGCACACGGCCACACACAGCCTAGAGTGACCCCTGGGCCACAAGCTCGACACCAAAGTGCGGAAGGCACCAAGGAAACTCGCATTTCCCTGTATTCCGCCCCTGCCTTGGGGGCCGGCTGCTCCCCACCATCCTGTGGTTTTGGTGGTGCTGCCCGGCCCTGACCTGGGGTGGGCATGGCGTGGCCCTGGCCAGCCTGCCTCGGCCTTCCCTGGGATCTCGTCTCTGAGGCAGAGATGCAGTAGAGACAGTGAGGACAGAAGAGCATGGCTGAGGTGGGGCAGGGGTAGCACTGCCTGGGCTTGCTGTCCAGAGGGCACAAGCCCGCCCCTCTGCAACCCCCTTCTGGTGGGTTCCGCCTCCAGGTTCCAAGAGTCCCAGAGCTGTGAGCCCCACTTGGAGACACTGCCCCTGACCCCAGGAGCCCAGGCACATCTGCAGTTTGAGGGCGGCTGTGTCCCCACTCTCCACCCAATGACATGGACTAGTCCCTCTGTGACCCTGGGAACGCAGCTCAGGACACCCCGTGAGCTCGGCATGGCCTGGCCACCTGCCCCTCTCTGGCCTGCTGGGCGCTGCTGGCCCCTAAGCCCCTGCCTCCCCTTTACCTTGGCCTTGCCCAGGAAATCCACGGGCTCCAGGTGCTCCAGGTGCCGCCTGTGGGGCCGAAAGACCTCGCCCCTGGGGACCCGCCGAGGCTGCATGAGGGCCTGTTTCTGGAGGAGGTCCGGCCAGGGCTGACCTGAGCATCTGACCAGGCCCGTGGCTGCAGGAGCCCCTGAGCCTTGGAACAGAGGTCCTGCTTGGGGCCCCCCACCCACTTCCCATAGCCCATGGGAAGGCCTCGCCCAGCCCCCACACCTGGGCACACGGGCCGCCTCCCTCCAGAGGCTTCGTCATCTCATATAGTTGGTCTTGGAGGGGCTGTTCAGATGGGAGCCCCACACTGCAGGCAATGGGCCCCACAAGCCGACCTGAGTCGGCTCAGGAGCCTGAGGTGGGGGCAGCCTGGCTCTTCTCACCTGCCCCCCTCACCTGCACTTGGTCCAGGGCAGTGTCCAGATCGTCGCGGGCCCCTTCTGGCCCCTTGGAGATGGCTTCCTCTAGGCTGCGGGTGGCTTCAGCCCAGAGCCCCAGCCCGCACTGCGCTGCAGCCACGTTGAACAGCACCTGGGAGCGAGGTGGGAGGTGACAGCAGGGTCCACTCCTAGATCAGTCCCACTGACCCCAACGACACCCCCCCCTTACCCCCGCTGGCCCTGGCCCCGTCCCCAACCCCACCCCTGTCTCCGCCCCTGGTCCAGCCCCCAGCTCCCCAGCCACAGCAGCAGAGGGCCCAGGGGAGGGCAGTTGGCCGTCACGCCCTGGTGCCAGGCTCTCCCAGCAGGCCTCCCTCTCCAGACCCCCAGCTGGAGCAGCTCATCGCTCTGGCTCTTCTCTGCTCTGGGTCTCTGGAGCATCCTCTCAGCCTGTGTCACCCCATTCTGCGTCTGGCCAGACCCCCTCACGGCCCTGTCTTCCCTGTGCTGTCCTGTTCACTGTACCCCTCCGAGTCTGGGGTGCGTCTCAGGAACCCCTTTCTCTGTGCCGTCCCCTCCCCCACGTGAAGGGACCTTTGGAGGGACACAGTGGATTGGGTTAAGGCTGTCGCCAGCCAGGACATGCTTGGGGCAGAAGCAAAGTCACCGCGCTGCTCCTGGGAGCCGACCGTCCTCACTGACCCCTCACTGCTGTGGGGACGGCATGTGCTCGCCAACCTGGCCTCGTGTCAGGGGAGGGGAGAAACCCACCGGGCCCTTCCCATGGCCCTCTGTCCCCACGGCCTGCATGCAAGGTGACAGCACACTCCCGGAGCCAGCTGGCTGCCCTCTGGAGATCCAGCTACAGGGCCTGGTGGGGTCATGGGCAGGCCAGCTCCCCACGCCTGCCCTGCTCTGTTCGGTGCCCTGGGCCGGGGGACACAGGCGGCTGTGGACCCGCACCTGGCGGGACTTTCCCACAATTTGTTTATTGCGACACAGGCTGTTCCCAGAGGGCTCCGAGGCACTGTGTTTCCAGAAGTGCTGGGAGCACTGGGAGGTGACCTTCCTCCCTATGCCCCTCCCTCAGTGCCAACACTGTCCCAGACAGCCAGGCACAGAGCCACGCACAGCACCGAGGGTGCGGACGCCCACGCTTGCTCCCTACCAGGGGCCCCCGGCCAAGCTGCGCTCCCTCCCGACCCCATCCCCCTTTCACCTCTCTGCTGATTCTCTGCCTGCCCCTGCCCTTCTCCTGGCGGAGCACTCCTGGTGGCCCCCACCTGCAGCCCTAAGCCTCCTCGGGGCCGAAGAGTGAACAGCAGGGGTTGGGGGCACTTCTGGCCAGGGGAGTATCCCACTCAACATGGCCCCACCTGTGACAGTAACAAGACAACAGGACCCAGAGGACGGGGCCTGGAAGGACCACCTGGGCCATTTGCCCACAGACAGCACCCCAGAGCCCCCAGCCTGCCCCACCTCTTGGGGGCCAGTTCCCTGCATGAGCCCAGCGCACCCTCACCTCCCAGGCCTGCAGCTTGAACCGCAGGCCCAGCTGCGTGTAGTCAATGGTGGCATTACCCCTCAGCTGTGCCAGGGCCAACCGGAAGTCGCACAGGGCCTGCTGGAACCTGTGGGCAGCAGGAGAGCCAGGTGTGGGGGGCCCTCAGCGGCCGCAGGGAAAGGGGCTGAGCCCTGCCCCAGCCTTCCCCACCCTTGGCTCCAGGAACACCTGCTGGGGGCAGAGGCGGTCACCCAGGTCTCAGCACATGGTGGGCACTCAAGTCCTGACGAATGGGTCAAGGGTCAATATGCAGACACGGCTGTGCAGGGCACAAGGGGCGTCTCGGGTGTGAGGTGATGCCTAGCTCGGACGGATCTAGCTCTGACTTCTGGCATCTCACTCCCCTGCCTGGGGCCCCTGTCTGCACCCCAGATCTTCTTCCACACCCAGCTGTGCAGAGTGCCCTGGTCATTTCCCTCCTGCTTCTCAGGCCCCCCATCCCCCGCAGGCCTCCCCCTGCGGAGTCCCCCTGGAAGATCCCCAGCCCCTACCAGAATCCCCTTCTCCCTCAGGCAGGCTCCTGGGAGGGGAGGAGGTGGCCCCCAGAGCCTGCCTGCCCTGCGTGGGGCATTCTGTGGGGCTTGTCCTGGGGGCCAGGCCAGGGGTGGAGGCCAGGCCTGTCCTGCAGCCCTGATGCCTTCTCCAGGAAGGGCCACGGTGCAGAGAGCCTGTGAGCAGTGAGGACCCCAACCATCTGTGTCCTGGGACACACCATTCCTCCAGCCCCACCCTCGGTTTCTGCCTCTGCAGAATGGGCATAATCACAACCTCCCTGCTACAGCAAAGGAGGGGATGCCCACAGCACAGAGCAAGGGTCACTGCGTGGCTCTGCCCCCGTCCCACTCCAGCATGACCACAGCGTCCTCCCCCAGGAGGAGGGGTCAGTGAGAGGGGGTGACCCATGGGGAGAGAGGCGGAGGCGGAACACAAGAATGGACTCGGCAGAGACAGAGGGCCATCAGAGGAGGAACGAGCCCCTCTCTGCTCACCTCTCCAGCTGGAAGTTGGCCACCCCTCGCTGGAAGAAGCCAACAGCCATGCAGGCGTCCTTGGTCACTGCTTCGTCAAACGCCTGGGGACAAAAATGCCCATGGAACGCCAAGGTCTGTAACCCCCTCCCCCGTGTCACACAGTCCAGACGGATGACCAGAGATGGGCCAAGGAACTCCGTCAGCCCTGTGAGAGCCGCCTGCAGGTGAAAGCGTGCTGCACCGGCCCGGGGCCTTCAGCGCCTGGCACCATTCAGGTTCCTCCACCGCCACCTAAAGCAGCCTGAGCTCCCGAGGTGCCCTGTGACGGGCTCAGAGCACAGCAAGGTGGTGCCACAAACCAATTTGTTTACCATGAGGACAAGGAGAAAGGATAGAAGGAAATACTCCAGTGCATTAATAAGAGTTACCTCTGGGGAATGCAGTTATGCAAGATTTGTCTTTTTTAAATCCTATTTTTGGTAGTTCATACAAAATGACACACTTCTTATCTATTAGAGTCAGAAAGAACAAAACACAAAAGTCTTACTATGTGTGTAAAGCACAGCCTTTCCTTAAACGGACTCAGAAATGACGTCGTCTGTTCCTAACGAGGATAGCAGCCATCAGCTAAACACAGGCAACAGGAGGCGTGTCTTGGTCTTACCCTAACAAATCTGGCTGTGGGGGGCCCTTGTTGAACTGAGTTTGACCCAAGGGTGAAGGTGACACAGGGCCACTGATGCAGGGAGGCCACTCCGCGAGACCCGTCTGCTATCTCCCCACACAGAGCAGCCAAACCAAAGCTTATGTAAGGTTCAGATCAACAGACTGGCCCCCAGCAACACCCCTTCCCACCCTATCCTGCTCCTCAGAGATCATCAGTTTCATTAACTGTAGCCGTTCCATCTGCTTTTTAAAATCTCCATATTTCCAACCAATACACCTATTCTATTCTTGAATTTTATTGACTTCAGACAGTACTCCTCCTCCTCTGAGTAGAGAGGAATTTAACACGCGTACTGCTCTGCCCTCGACCTGTTTCCTCTCTCCAGTTAAATCACAGTTTGAGTAGGCGATGACTGGGCCAGCCTTACACCTGTGACTCACTGTTGAACCACCTGGTGTCCGGTGATTGTAAACCCTTTCTTGGATAACATTTTAAAACTGAAAGTGTTACTGAGAATTGTAGATTCGTACGCAGATGTAAGAAGTGACAGGGAATCCTTGTACACTTTGCCCAGTTTCTCCCAATGGTGGAGTTTTGCAAGAAGTTGACGTTGCTGCTCTCCATAACGTCTCATCCTCTTTTCTTTTCATCTGTGTAGTTTTCCAGGTGGCTGTCACTGATCGTCTGAACAACCGTGGGAACCCGGTTCTTTCGGCCGACGGAATTGGGGACAGGAACAATGGGCAGGGTGCTGCCGGCTTTTCGTCATGCACCCGTGGAAGATGCATCACTGTGATGAACACGAAGCGTCTGAAGGGCAGAGTGGCGGGGCCAGCCCAGTGGCGCAAGTGGTTAAGTGCGCGCGCTCCGCTGTGGCAGCCCGGGGTTAGCCGGTTTGGATCCCGGGCGCGCACCGATGCACCACTTGTCAAGCCATGCTGTGGCGGCGTCCCATATAAAGTGGAGAAAGATGGCCATGGATGTTAGCCCAGGGCCAGTCTTCCTCAGCAAAAAGAGGAGGATTGGCACATGTTAGCTCAGGGCAGATCTTCCTCACAAATAAATAAATAAATAAAAGAAAATTTGAAGGGCAGAGTGGCTCTGCGCTGGTGTGTGTGTGCCCATGCACCCCAAGCTTTTGGTTCTGTTTTGGGGAGCAGGTTGGGAGATAGGTGAGCACTAAGAGCTGGGCTTTGGGCACCAGTGAGACAGACCTTGGCCCCTCATCACCACCACAGGCGTCTGCTGAAGCCCCTGCCCCAAAACCTATCCCTTGGGGGGCAGGCAAGCCCCTTCCCAGAGCATCCAGCCTCAAGCCAGTTTCCAAGTGTGTTAGCACCTGAGCCAGCATTCGCCCAGACCTTTCCCCATGGCTGTAGAGTCTGGCACATGGTCATCACATAGTGCAGGCTGTGAGGGAGCCCTGGGCCCCCATCTTGGTCCTGACTCAGCTCAGGTTGGGGTCCCCCGACCACACAGCTCCCCCGTGCCATAGGTGTTCATTGAGGCAGAACACTTGGGAGACGTCCCCAAGTGACCATCAGGGGGAAGAGCAGGGGTCCCCCCCAGGTGACCGTCGGGAGGAAGGGCGGGGGGCCCTAGACTCACCCCTGCAGCTAGGTCTTTATCGCACCGCTCATGGGCCCGGTGCACGGTAAGTAAGGCCCCCAGGGCCAGAGATCAGCCCCCCCAGGTCCCTCTGCGACCAGTCCCGGGCGCGGGTGTCAGGCCCCTGGCTCACCCGCAGCGCAGCCTCCGGGTCCCCGGCCAGCAGGTGCACGCAGCCCATGTTGAAGCACATCCTGGCGCGGGGCTCCGGGACGCCCGAGAAGAGCCGCAGGGCGCAGCCCCAGTCCCCGCGCGCCACGGCCTGCGCGCCCTGGTGCCAGTCCCGCACCTGGTCCCCGAGCGAGGGCATGGCGGCGAGGACACGGCCGGCCGCAGCAGAGGTCGGCGCTTCCGGGTCGGGGCGCGGCGGGCGCGGCCGGCGGGGTGGGGTCCCGTGAGGGGACCGGTGGGAGGACCGGGCCGAGGACCGCAGAGCAGGGGCTGGGGGACCCTCCAAGCCGGGCAGGGGGCTGAGGCTGGGGGGCCCTCCGAGCTGGGCAGGCCGCTGGGGTGCAGGGAGCGCTGGACACTGGGCGCGGGGCGTCGGTGCGTGCCAGGTGCGACGCGCCTTCGGCCGGGCGCCCCGCCCCAGCCGTCCTGGCCACGCCCCTCCCCGAGTCGGCCCACCCCGCCCCGCCTGGCCACGCCCCTCCCTGGCCGGCCTGGCCACGCCCCCAGCTAGCGGCCGGCCTGGCCACGCCCCCAGCTAGCGGCCGGCCCCTTCCTATCTGGCCCCGCCCCTCGAGGCTTCCGCCCGGAGCTGTGCGCGCGCCGGCCGCGTTGGGCTCCGTGCTCCGGGGAAAGCGGTCCGGGCCCGCTGCTGACGCCGCTGCCGCGGCCGGGCGAAGGTTCCGGGCGGACCCCGCCGGCTCAGGTGAGCGATCCCGGGCCGAGAGCGGCGGGCGCGGGATGGGCTGGGCAGAGAGGCTGCGGAGCGGGTGCGGCTCAGCCGCGCGCCCCTTCGTGGACGAGCGGCGGCCTGGCCGGCCTCGGCCCCGCTGTCGCCCCCGCCCGCCCGAAGCCCTGGCCCTCCTGCTGTGCGTCCTCGGGCCAGGCCCGCGGTCTGGGGTCGCCATGCCGGCAGCCGGCGCCGCAGGGGACACACCTGGGAGAGACCAGAGGGGCAGGTGGGCGCTTACCCCCAGGTGGGGGAACTGAGGTCCGGAGTGCGCGAGGCAGGTCGTGGTTGTCATCCTTGAAAATGAAATAGTTGTTGCACCCCGTGAGACCGATAGGGAAACTGACTAACGGGGCGGGCGCCCTGCAGGGGGCGCGCTCCCCCCAGCACGCCAGTCCCTCGATCCAAACAGGAAGTGCAACTACTTTACCGCTGAGGGAAGACTTCTCTTCCTGCCGGCAACGGCCCAGCCAATCAGAAACACCACAGCTCAGCCAGTCAGAAACGCCGCAGCCCAGCCAATGAGAAGCCGTTGCCATGCTGATCTGTTTCTCTCCCCCAATGGGCTTTCCTTTAGAGTAGCCCCGCCCTCTCCCCCGTTTCTCTATAAAAGCAGCTCCCTCTGTTCTCTGGAGTTCCCTCTGGTTTGCCATAGCAGGCATATCCGGGATTATAAGGGTTTTGGCTAATCCCGAATAAACTCATTTTGAGGATAAAGTAACAGGCAAATTTGCTTTTTAAGTTGACAACCAGCAAAATGAGTTCATTCACGAATGGCAGAGGAATTGCAATTAAGAAAATACCGACTGCGGTGAACCATAGGCAAGTCCAAAGAGCAAAAGGGAACCTCAGCTTTTATTAGGCTGTGGGAGGAAATTGAGGAGGGTTTTTGTTTTTTTGTGTGTGTGTGTGAGTAAGATCAGCCCTGAGCTAACATCCGTGCTAATCCTCCTCTTTTTGCTGAGGAAGACTGGCCCTGAGCTAACATCTATTGCCAATCCTCCTCCTTTTTTTTTCCCCAAAGCCCCAGTAGATAGTTGTATGTCATAGTTGCACATCTTTCTAGTTGCTGTATGTGGGACTTGGCCTCAGCATGGCCGGAGAAGCGGTGCGTCAGTGTGAGCCCAGGATCTGAACCTGGGCCACCAGTAGTGGAGCGTGAGCACTTAACTGCTAAGCCATGGGGCCGGCCCTCTTCTTTCTTCTTGCTGGCGATCGTTGGCCTTTAAAAAAACAAAACAGCCAGTTATTTTACCAGCAAAATGGGTTTATTGGGGCATAGCAGAGGAACTGCAGTCCTGGAGCAAGCTATGATGGAACCACAGGGAAACCCAGCAAGCAAAGGAGAGGAATGTTACTTTATAGTGAAAAAGGAGGGGGTTGGGAGGAGAGAGGATGAGCAGAAGTCCACTGGAGGAGAGCAGGAGTCTGAGGTTGTGATGGCTCCTCGTGGGCTGAGCTGCAGTGTTTTCCCATTGGCTGGGCTTGTTGCTGGGCGAGCAGAAAGTCTTCCTTCTTCCTGCTGGGGTAATAAAGTAGGTAACTTCCTGCCCAGAATTGTAAGTTGAGATGGTGGTGTGTGCCTGAGAGCTCCCCCTACAGGGCTTCCTGACTCCATTTTAAATGAGGTTTTCCCTTTATTAATTTTCACACTATGCAAATTGAGATGAGCGTCAGAGCTCTCCCATGGCTTCCTGACTCCACTTTCCTTATGTATTTTTCACATTTCCCCTTTTGATCAATCTTTCTCTGAAAGCATTTCTGATCAAGAGTCTGGTTATTTATTTATTTATCAAACTTCTTTTTCCTGTGTCCCTCATTGCCAGCAAAGACCTTTCCCGAGAGTCTTGTCCTATGTTGGGGAGGGCATGTGGTGGTTGGAAGCCATAGAGGCCACATTTGAACAGTAAGGAAGGCGGAAGGAGGGGCTCTCAGGCATTTTCTGCTTTTAAGTGTTGGAAATCATTTCGAAACTCTGGATTATCATCACTTTATTTGGTGCATCATTTCTGCAGAGAATCAACAGGCAATAAGTAGAAAACTTCAAAATGATTATGCAAAACAAAATTAAAAGCAATATGACAAATTCAGTTTGTATGATGGTTCTAAACTGTGACCCTAGACCTGAAGGTAACCAAATGAACAAGTCAAAAGACCACGGACAGTCAGGTGAGACTTGTAACCAATGAGCTTATTCTCTAATTTTATGTAGTTGAGTTTCTGCTTCCCCAGAGAATTTACCCCAGTGCAACAGGTAGTGTTTGCTATTGCATAAACACTTCCTTGTTCAACAGGTAAATAATCAAGAGCTGTTCTATTGTCTAGAAGCACTTTGGCTAAGGAATCAGGTGATCTTTGTGGGGCAGTTATTATCTTGGCAGCAGAATCTGCAAGTTCTCCTAATGTCAGAGAGAGATTTCTGATCATATGTTCATTGGCACGTAAACCAGCAGGAGGGAATAATGCTCTTCTCAGGGAGGAGGAGATAGAATCAGGTGTTTCTCCTGGGAGTTCTCTTTTGAGGTGACTGTGAAAGTTTAGTGGGGAGGACCAATGGGAGGCCTTGGATTTGTTCTGAAGAGACAATAGAACAGTAAATACAGCAAGAGCGCATTATCCTTTTATCCCCAGCTGTCAAGCCAATGAGTTGCCCAAGCATAGGGGCCATTGCTGAAGCCTTCACATATAAAAGAGTAGCCGGGAGTAAACGTAGAGCTTCCTCATAAGTATCAGCATTTATGAATCCACTGGTCAATATAGAGAACTTGGCGTCATTCAGCCAAGGCTCAAATACTGTATTATTATGTATCGGAAGACTACCCAAATACATGGGTCGGACGGCAAGCCTGCAAACGGTGTGGGTTATGCTGCTGCTTTGCAGTATCTTTTATATATTCGATGGGTCTAGTTTTCCCATTCCAGGGTTGGGTTAAATTGAAGCAAGGAATGGGGGCAAGCAGATTTAGAATTCTAACCTTATAAAAGAGGCATGCAGAGCAGTTTAGGCATGCAGTGGCATTTGGGATTCCAGTGAAATTACTTATGGGGTGAAGTAAGGGGTCACTGCTGTTGTGGACAGATTGAGGTTTCTGGTGACAAATTCAACAGTCGGAGAGGTTTTCCCCTTCTGCAGTGGATTGGGAAATGTGGATAAGAGTGTTCCCGTCTAAGGAGAAGAGGTAACAGTAGCAGTTTTGGCCATGGGATTTGGAGGCATGGCTATTGGTTTCCTTGAGAGCAGCGTTCTTAGTGGGAATATCGGTGAGGTGGTTCCCTTTAGCTTCCAGGGAGCCAAGTTTGGAATGCCCAGGGACCTTGATTATGGCCAGAGCAGCAGGCAAGAATATGGCATCTAATAATTCCTGAGTATAAGGGCTGTTTTTAATTTTGTCTCCGCTGGAAGTGAGGAAACCAGTGGTTTCCATAACATTGTGAAATTGTGAGCCACTCCAAAGGCATATCTACTGTCAGTGTAAATGTTGGCGATTTTGTCCTTGGCTAAAATGCAGGCCCAAGTAAGAGCGTATAATTCAGGCTGTTGGGCCAAAGTAGCCAAAGGCAAACGTGTTACCCTCGATGACTTCAAAAGGAGTTGCAATTGCATATCCAGCACAATATTTGCTGTTTTCACCTTTCAAATAAGAACCATCAGTGAACCATGAGAAATCAGCTTTATCCAAAGGAGTCTGTGATGTGTCAGAGTCCAACAGTCGTGAGGAGTATCGTCCGTAGAGGAAGGAAGCAGGGTGGTGGGGTTAAGACTATTACAGAGAGAAAGGGTTATGGGAGGAGCAGTCAGCAGGAGGATTTCATGGGAGGTGAGACGACCGGCTGAAAGGCATTGTGTATGGTGAGAGTTAAGAACAGCTTCAACAGCATGTACACAAAGACGGTTAAGGGGATCCCATCCTAGTTCCTCTGTGGCCTCAACCAGAAGGACAGTGGCAGGAATGGCTCTGAGGCAAGGGAGTATCCTCATGCCACAGGGTCTAGTTTTTGGCTATCATATTCTATGGGTCAATGGTGGTCCCCATGTTTTTGGGTGAATACCCAAGGGCATTCCCTTTCTTATGGTACACAGAAAGGAAAAAAGGAAGTTGATAATCGGGATGTTCAAGGAGAGGGGGATTTATTAAGCTTTCTTTTAAGGTATTAAAAGCTAGGTCATCCTGATCTTCCCAAGTAATTGGGTCAGGTTTGATGGTTTTTAGTAGGGCATATAAAGTCTGGGCCATGAGAGAAAAATTTGGAATCCAGTTCTGACAATAGCTGGCCAGTCTGAGAAATCCTCACAATTGGTGTTTGGTTTTGGATTTTGGTAAGTTCAGGATGCCATGAAGCCTATCTGGATCTAAATGTAGCCCTTGATCTGAGATCAGGTGTTCTAAATAGTAAACTTAAGTTTGAACAAACTGCAGTTTTTCTTTGGAAACCTTGTATTCCTTTAAGGCTAAACGTTTTAACAGGTGGATGCTGTTCTCCTCTGAAGAGGCTTGGGAAAGGGAGCAGAGAAGTAAGTCAGGACCTCCAGGAAATTTTACCTCATCTCAATCACCTTTTTTTTTTTTTTTTCCGTGAGGGAGGTCAGCCCTGAGCTAACATCCGTGCTAATCCTCCTCTTTTTGCTGAGGAAGACCGGCTCTGAGCTAACATCTATTGCCAATCCTCCTCCTTTTTTTCTTCCCCAAAGCCCCAGTAGATAGTTGTATGTCATAGTTGCACATCCTTCTAGTTGCTGTATGTGGGACGCAGCCTCAGTACGGCCGGAGAAGCGGTGCGTCGGTGCACGCCCGGGATCTGAACCCAGGCTGCCAGTAGTGGGGCGTGCGCACTTAACCACTAAGCCACCGGGCCGGCCCTCAATCAGCTTTTAAGATGTGCAAGACTAAGAAGGACTTTCGTTAAAACCCTGGGTCATTACGGTCCAGGTATATTGTTGTCCTTCCCAAATGAAAGCAAAGAGATAGCGGCTGGCC